TAGGGTTCAGACTCTGAGCAGGGACCAGAGAGGCTGGTTTGCCACCAGGAGGTGCCTGAGGCATGGAGCAGCGGTGAAAGCCAAAGGGAGTTAGTCCCTGACCTCAGGCCCTGGAGCAGTGGGGGGAGCCAAAGGAGTTGGTTCCAGGCGCCAGGCAAAGACGGGCAGATAAGTGCCAACAGCAACTATGGAGATATAGGAGATAATTGGGGCCAGGTGGTTGTGATTAGACTCCTCCCAAGTGCGTATATAAGAAGATACTTTGGGAGGAGGCTGTTTACAGGACTCAACTATTATACTAAAGCTGGAGAAGCTCTGGTGTGTATTTCTTATCTGTGTGAAATCTGGGTTGCTGCCAAAGTCTTGTCGGCATGTTAATTTACTGTGAATAAATTGTCTAGCACTAATCTTGTGTCGGCGTGACTCACCGTACGGAGGGGGATCAGAACAGATTACTATGATATTATCCTCCTTCCATATGATGCCATTCAAATGTTTTGAATTACCATTCTAGTCTCTGTAGTCAGATCAGTACAATTAGTCCTTGACTTATGATCACAATTGAGCCCAAAATCTATATTCTTAAGTGAGACATTCACCTCATTTTATGACTTTTCTTACCATAGTTGTTAAGTGTATTAAAGGTAAAAGATAAAGGTTCCCCTAACACATTTGTGCTAGTTGTTCCCGATTCTAGGGGGTGGTTTCAAAGCCGAAGAGCCAGCGCTGTCCGAAGACATCTCCGTGGTCATTTGGTTGGCATGGCTAAATGCCAAAGGCGCACGGAACATTGTTACCTTCCCACCAAAGGAGGTTCCTATTTTTCCAATTGCATTTTTGCGTGCTTTCGAACTGCTAGGTTGGCAGAAGCTGGGACAAGTAATGGGAGCTCACTCCATTACATGGCATTAGGGATTCGAACTGCCAAACTGCCGACCTTTCTGATCGACAAGCTCAACATCTTAGCTACTGAGCCATCGCATCCCTTTAAGTGTATTGCTGCAGTTGATAAGATAACCTAGTTAAGTGTATCTGGCTTTCCCATTGACATTGCTTATCAAAACAGTGCAAAAGGTGATCACATGACCTTGGGATACAGCAATGGTCATAAGTATGAACCAGTTGCCAAACATGAATTTTGATCACATGATCACGGGGATCCTACAAAGGTTGCACTTTAAAAAAATGATCATGTCACTTTTTCCAGTGGTGTTGTAACTTTTAATGGTCACTAAATGAAATGTTGTAAGTCGAGACTATCTGAAATTATACTCCAAAATATCTGAAGGGCAATAACAGATATTTAGCAATTTGAGTTTGTTTTCAATGTTCCTTCTCTTGAAATCTAATTTGATCACGGTATGGATCACTCAGTATAGACTTCTTACATTTTGATATAGATCCTAATGATTTATTTCTACCATGCACAATTACACAATTTGCAATCTTGTTAGCACAAGTCTTTGATGCCAACAAATATTTTAATGATTTTCAAGATCACCGATACAATTCCTGGAATATTTGAACTGAGAGTATATACTGCTTTCATATATAGCAAATCAAAATAATTATGCATTTATTTAAAATTAGATATTTATTTTAATAAAAGGCAAAAGATTTATATGATTTGAGGAGGACTGGAGGATGAGCTGCTGCTAAACAGTGAGACATTCGTTTGTAAAAATCTATTTCCTGGCTAGTTTATGAAATGGCATGACATGCATTGTTGCTAAATTATGAGATCTGAACCACATAGAATTGGTTATTCAGGATAATCCTAACATAACTGAAGAATCATGATTTATGCTGTCTGAATTTTTGCAATATTTATCATAACATTTACAAACCTGAATGAGGTCAAACATTGTAAGTGGCAATAAGTCATCCAGTATTGCTATATCCTTTGAAAACCTGTTAAGTATTCCACCTTTATGTTGAAGGGAAAAATAAGTTAATTATCAACTGAATATTTTATCAATAATGGTTAAACTAAACAATGAGCTTTTTGAATAACTAAAAAACTAAAATTCTACTTAACATTCCCAAGCTTATTTGCAGTATATTTAAGCATATAGTACTAATTAATACTGGATTAGTTTACATTTAGATTAACTATAGGAAAATGTTTACATGAAAAGATTTATATACTAATTTAGGATGGTGAGAGGACATGTACCTAATAATTTTAAGTTTTTTACACATGGGATAACAATTCACATAAGTAATGCAAGGTGGCAAACATATATAATACTCGTTTCCTCTTTTTTTCTCACAACATCCCATGAAGTGGGCTAGGTTGGGAGAGAGTGACAGGCCCAAGTTACCCAATCAGCTTTCATGCCTAAGGTGGGACTAGAACTCAATCTCCTGGTTTCTTAACGACTAGACAGAACTGGCTCTATCTACTGCATCCTGCTGTGTCCTTCAAACTTAGGGCAGATTATAAACAATATAAAATGAATAAATATTTGACACCATAGATGAGTTTAAGCAAGCATAAGATTTACCAATTGTTTCCGTACACTTATGACAGTGTTCAAAAATAATTACTTCTATTTTTATCAAACCTCACTTGTGAAAAATGTGCTGTGTGGTGAAGATAAGTTCTGTTTACTTAATTTTTTAAAAATTGAGCTTGCAATGACAGAATGGGGACAACTTGGTGCAGCCAACTCAGCGCAACCAACTCACTGCCGCCAGCTGGCTACCAAGTCACCTCTGCCAACTCACATCACCAAGTTGTTGCAGGACAACTCAACACAGCCGGTTCACCACAGGGACAATTTGACCTGGGCAGCTGGAGAACCAGGCATGTGGGCAAGTGAGTGGGTGGGCATAGTGGGAGCAGCCAGGGGCTTCCCATTTTCACACGCCTCCATTACCAGTGCTGCCACCGCTGCACTGAGCTCCAGGCTGTTGGAGTTCTGGCCATTAGACAGCAGTGGCAGTGTTTGGGCTGTTTGCCAGTGGTGGGCAGGGTGGGCAGGGTAGGCAGAGTAGGCAGTGTATGCGGCAGGGAGATGGTGGAGACCTGGCATTTCCCATTTTCAAACACATTTTGCCACTGCTGCATCATGTTCCTCCCATTCATTCACCTGCCCACCCAGTTCTCCTTCCAGCTGCCCATGGCAAGCTGCAAATTGGCCATGATGTTCTGCAATGACTTAGTGGTTGCAGTTGGCAGAGGCAGTGGTGAGTTGGCAGAGGCAATTGGTAGTGGTGAGCTGGCCATGCTAAGCTGGCTGTACCAAGTTGTCTCATTCTGCCCTAAATGCCTAGCAAATGCCTTTGCTATAAATGCTTTAAGATATCTCTGTTGCATTTTAAATTCGCCACACATATACATACATTAAGGTGACCAGATTTTAACATTGGTAAAGCGGGACACCACTGATCGGGGGAGGGGGGTTCTTGATTAAAAAATTGGTCTATAAGACTCAGTCTCCTTCAATGTAGTATGTAAGCACAATCATATTAGTTCTCTTTAGGATCTTTCGGTATGAGAGGACTGGAAGATAGCTATTATGTTCTCGGGGTTTT